CTTAAGTCCAGTTTCCTCTCATCCCCAACCTGCCTTCTTTCCCTCAAATACTGGCAACCATCCATTATTCCCCACTCCCACATCGTTGCAATCTTCTCTGGCCACTTTCGCTCAAACTCCACCTAGCATCTGTGAGGACACTGTTGACTCTCCATTCACAATGTATGCAGCGCCCCACATTTCTCACCTGATCTCGCCTCACCTCATCAGTCTGGATGAGTTCAGATGACTGCAATCCTTCCTAATAGTTCTCCCTGCCTCCGCCTTTGTTTGGCAGTCTCCTCCCTGCCAGAGTAATCCTTTCAGAAGGACATCAAAGCCACACCCTGCAGTGGCTCCCCATTTCACTCAGAGCCAACGCCCAAATCCCTCAGATGGCATCCAAAGCCCTGCTCCATCTGGCAGGCAGCCCTGCCAGCCCTCACTTCTTCCCGCCCTGTCATCCTCCCTAACTCACTCAGCAGGACACGATGGCCTCCCTGCTGCTCAGGAATGAGACAGGCCAGCCTCCACCTGGAGTCCTTTGTGCTGGCTGTCCCACCTGCCTGGAATGCTTTCCCCTAGACAGCTGCCTGACTCGCCTCTTCAGCACCTTCCAGTCTGCTCAGATGTCCCCTTTCAGTGTGACCTACCTTAGCCCCCAACCCCTCAGCCATGCCCACTGTTTTGACATCACTCTATCAACTCGTAATATATTACACAGCATACTTACTTATACAGTTTAATAGAAATTATCTTTACAAGGCCGTATGTTTTTATCTATTTTGTTCGTTTTGATTATTTTGGTCCAAGTGCTTGGAACTAGAAAGCATTCAATAAATATTTTTGGAATGAATGAATTGAATGTCTACTTGTTGAATGATTTCACCTTCATGCTTTTACTTAAATTTCAGGCACCTTGAGAGGTATGTGTTACTCCATTTTACCTATAAGGATAGCCACCTTTGGCCGGGCGCGGTGGCTCACGCCTATAATCCCAGCACTTTGGGAGGCCGAGGCGGGTGGATCATGAGGTCAAGAGATCGAGACCATCCTGGTCAACATGGTGAAACCCCGTCTCTCCTAAAAATACAAAAATTAGCTGGGCATGGTGGTGCGTGCCTGTAATCCCAGCTACTCAGGAGGCTGAGGCAGGAGAATTGCCTGAACCCAGGAGGCGGAGGTTGTGGTGAGCCGAGATGGAGCCATTGCACTCCAGCCTGGGTAACAACAGGAAAACTCCGTCTCAAAAAAAAAAAAAAAAAAAAAGGATAGCCACCTTTAAAAGGTTTAAGTAACTTGTACAAGTCACAAGTTACTAAGTTGAAAAGTGAAATTGGGGACCAAGGTCTTTTTCTAAAATCTCATAACTAGTGTCGTTTTCAGCTCTCTATATGGCTGCCTCCCACGTTGGTATTTGTGAGACTCAAAGGAAAATCAAATTCATTCACACCAAACTGTTGCCCAGGAGTAAAGCAGATTTCTGTAAATGAAGGCAGAACTCCAAATAACTGCAAGAAAAAATTAGAAATGGGCACTTACTCATAACTGTATTTGTTCTTAAAATAATTTATACATTTAAAAAACAAAAATTTAAAAGTATTTAAAGTAGAAATTATAAAGAAATATATAAAGAAGTAAACATAGAACAAACCACTTACATTCATCAGGTTTAAATATTTCCTTGGCCAGGTGTGGTGGTTCACACCTGTAATCCAAGCACTTTGGAGGCCAAGGCGGGCGGATCACCTCAGGTGGGGACTTCAAGACCAGCCTGACCAACGTGGTGAAACCACGTCTTTAAAAAAAAAAAATTCCTTGATAAGAGTTGTGGTTGAAAAGAATCAAGATAAACTTCATGGGCTGGGTACAGTGGCTCACTCCTGTAATCCCAGCAGTCTGGGAGGCCTAGGCTTGGTGGCAGGCACCTGTAGTTCCAGCTACTCCGGAGACTAAGACAGGAGAATTGCTTGAACCTGGGAGGCAGAGGTTGCAATGAGCTGAGATCACACCACTGTACTCTAGCCTGGGTGACAGAGTGAGACTCTGTCTTAAAAAAAAAAAAAAAAAAGAAGATGAACTTCATGAGGCTTGACTGGAGGGATTTTGGGCAAGGGAAAGTGATACAGAATTTTTTTTTAAGAGTGAAGGAAGATGAAAAGAATAAACCAAAAAAAAGGTCACCTAAATAATTTGGACAGATGATATTCCCTAGTCTGCTGGAGGCTGATGATCTCAGAGAATCTTCCTTTGTTTTAAAAAATCTAATGCCTTATTAGCCTTTGTCTTTGGGACAGTCAAAGGATGTATGGTCCAAATAGAGATTATCTTTACTTAGAATAGAAAACTTGCACAAAGCCAGTAGAAAAGCTATTACCCTCTCATCCCAGAGCCGGTCAACCCCAAACCCAAGCTCCTTCCATTCCTGTGCCTGGAAAGCCCTCACATTTGCATCAGAAACTATGGAGCAGGTTTCCCTTGGTTAATCTGGCAAATTGAAAGTGGCTATGCTAAAGGGTACACACATCCCACCAATTTGTAGGTATGGCTATGATTATAGGTATGGCGATGATTAATTTGCCCCAAGATTTATAGGAAAAGGGGAAGGAGACAGTTTTTTTGTTTTTCTGGTTTTTCTTTTTTTTTTAAACAGAGTTTCGCTCTTGTTACCCAGGCTGGAGTGCAATGGCGCCATCTCGGCTCACCACAACCTCCGCCTCCTGGGTTCAGGCAATTCTCCTGCCTCAGCCTCCTGAGTAGCTGGGACTACAGGCACGCACCACCATATCCAGCTAATTTTTTGCATTTTTAGTAGAGACGAGGTTTCACCATGTTGACCAGGATGGTCTCGATCTCTTGACCTCGTGATCCACTGGCCTCATCCTCCCAAAGTGCTGGGATTACAGGCTTGAGCCACCGCGCCCGGACTGTTTGTTTGTTTTTTGAGATGGAGTTTTGCTCTTGTTGCCCAGGCTGGAGTGCAATGACACGATCAGCTCACCGCAGTCTCCGCCTCTCAGGTTCAAGTGATTCTTCTGCCTCAGCCTCCCAAGTAGCTGGGATTACAGGCATGCACGACCATGCCTGGCTAATTTTGTATTTTTAATAGAGACAGGGTTTCTCCATGTTGGTCAGGCTGGTCTCGAACTCCCGACCTCAGCTGATCTACATGCCTTGGCCTTCTAAAGTGCTGGGATTACAGGCATGAGACACTGTGCCTGGCTGTTTTGTTGTTGCTGTTTGTTTTTTTGAGACAGAGTCTCGCTTTGTGGCCCACAGTGGAATGCAGCTCACTGAAACCTCTGCCTCCGCCTCCCAGGTTCAAGGGATTCTCCTGCCTTAGCCTCCCGAGTAGCTGAGATTACAGGTGCCCACCACCATGCCCAACTAATTTTTTTTTAGTAGAGACAGGGTTTCCATGTTGGCCAGGCTGGTCTTGAACTCCTGCCTCAGGTGATCTGCCTGCCTCGGCCTCCCAAAGTGCTGGGATTACAGGCGTGAGCCACTGTATGTGGCCTGAAAAGGAGTTTTATATGTCACCATGACTTCCCACTTAAAATCAATATAAAAACTGTAGCATCTCTGCTGGTTAATAATTAAATACAAGAAGTATTACTGGTATAACAATATTGGTATGATGCCTTTTTACATCACATGCTGCTAACTGAGTTAATGCAGCTATTGCTGTAACAATGCAATGCATGAAAGGATAGCCAGGACACTTGGCTGGGCCTCAAGAGCCTCTAGCTGTCGTTCTTCCTCATTCCTCCCAAGCTTACTTGTTGCAGGTAGAAAATCAAGAGGCAGCTACTTGGGAGGCAGGAGAATCACTTGAACCCAGGAGGTGGAGGTTGCAGTGAGCTGAGATCGTGTCATCGCACTCCAACCCGGGCAACAAGAGTGAAACTAGAAAAGAAAAAGAAAAAAACGAGAGGCAGCCATCTAAGTAACTCAATGGGATAGGAGGGTGTGGGGTCAGGGCCATTTAGCCTGAACTGCCCCACCTGCCTAAGATAATTGCATTTGAAGGGATCCTTGAAATAGTTAAATACGCACATTTCGAAGAAGAATTTAAGTGATTTCCAACCTGGGACTGCGGATGCTTCAATTTCCCTACCCAAGGGAATGAGACTGGACTATTACTGACAATGCCTGTACTCAAAACCACAGTAATGCCTGCTTCTCCGTGGTTTCAGTTACCCAAAGTCAACAGCAGCATGAAAATATTAAATGGAATATTCCAGAAATAAACAATTCATAAGTTTTAAATTGCACCCCATTGAGTAGTGTGATTAGTTCTGCTGTCCCGCTGTGTCTTGCCCAGAATGTGAATCCTCCCTTTGTCCAGCATATCTACACTGTAGAGTTCCTGTCCCTTCCCTCCGGCCACTTAGTAGTCCTCTGGGTGATAAGGTGTCAAGTATCTCAGAGCCTGTGCTCCAGTAACCCTTATTTTACCTAATAATGGCCGTAAAACCCAAGAGTAGTGAGGCCAGCAATTCAAAAATGCCAGAGAGGGCCTGTAATCCCAGCACTTTGGGAAGCCGAGGTGGGTAGATCACCTGAGGTCAGGAGTTTGAAACTAGCCTGGCCAACATAGCAAAACCCCCTTCTCTACTAAAAATACAAAAATTAGCTAGGTATGGTGTCGTGGGCCTGTAATCCCAGGTACAGGCAGGAAAATTGCTTGAACCAGGGAGGTAGAGGTTGCAGTGAGCCTAGATTGCACCCCTGCACTCCAGCCCAGGTGACTGAGCAAGACTCCGTCGTTAAAAAAAAAAAAAAAAGTCAAAGAGAAGCCGGAAGTGTTTCTTCTAAATGAAAAGGTAAAAGTTCTCAACTTAATAAGAGGAAACCATCGTATTTTGAGGTTGCTAAGATCTGCAGTAAGAAGGAATCTTGTATCCCTGAGATAGCGAAGAAAGAAAAAGAAATTCATGCTAAGTTTTGTTGTTGCATCTCAAACTGCAAAGCTCATGACAACAGTGTGTGATAAGTGCTTAGTTAGAAAGAAAAAACCTGTGCTCACTTTGGCAGCATATATACTAAAAAAATTGAAACGATACAGAGAAGATTAGCATGGCCCCTGTGCAAGGATGCCACACAAATTCGTGAAGTGTTCCATATTTTAAAAAAAGAAAAAACAACAACCCATTAAAATGTGGGGGTGGAAATCATAAACAGAACTGTGTTCCACTTGATGGCGATGAGGTTAGGTACTGCAGGCAGTTTCAGGCTCTGAACGGATCCCCTGTGGATAAGGGAGCAGGAGGGCTACCCTAGTCCCTGTTCAGCAATCAGTTGTAGAGGAGACGTCTCCAGCACTCCTCCAACCAAGGCGAAGCTCCACCCAAAGCACCAAGAACCATAAAACTGGTATGTCTGATCTGCTTTTGTTTTTGTTTTCATTTTATTTTATTTTATTTATTTATTTATTTATTTATTTTGAGACGGAGTCTGTCACCCAGGCTGGAGTGCAATGGCGCGATCTCGGCTCACTGCAATGTCCGCCTCCTGGGTTCATGCAATTCTCCTGCCTCAGTCTCCCGAGTAGCTGGGACTACAGGTGTGCACCACCATGCCCGGCTATTGTTTTCATTTTAGAGACAGATTCTCACCCTGTCACCCAGGCTGGAGTGCAGTAGCAAGATCACAGCTCACTGCAGCCTGAAACTCCTGGCTCAAGAGATCCTTCTGCCTGAGTCTCCCAAGTAGTTAGGACCACAAGCATGGACCACCACACCTGGCTAATTTTTTATATTTTTTGTAGAGAGGGGGTCTTGCTTTTGTTACCCAGCCTGTGATCTGTTTATTAAAATATGTTACTAGATGTTAGAGCTACATCTCCTACTACCCTGCCTAACAAGCATAAATATTCACTAAGTATAATTAAGTATTCGTTTAGTGAAATAACAGAGTAGGAATCTAAGAACTAGGTGCTGACCTGATCTGTACCTAATGTGTAAGATATTACATGGGATCAGATCCTTAGCAAATGTCTTTAGATTGATCCACAGTAGACCAACAGGATATATATATTTTAAAATCTGTTCAAAATTTTAGACAACATTTAGGGCCAGGCCCAGTGGCTCATGCCTTTAATCCCAGAACTTTGGAAGGCTGAGGTGGGTGGATCACCTGAGGTCAGCAGTTCGAGACCAGCTTGGCCAACATGGTGAAACCCCATCTCTACTAAAAATACAAAAATTACCCAGGCATCGTGGTGCATGCCTGTAATCCCAGCTACTTGGGAGGCACAGGTTGCAGTGAGCTGAGATCACACCACTGCACTCCAGCCTGGATCACAGAGTGGGACCCTATCTTAAAACAACAACAAAAAAACCCTAGATCTTAAAAAGTTAAAATATAACTTTCTTGAGAGTCATGATTATATTTAGCAACCTTAATCATTGCCACTGAAAAGCTTGGCTTTAGTTTTAAGCAACCACTATAAAAGCTATGGCACAGAGCTTGCAAGGGGTGGGCTCTAAAGGGTTACATTACATAGCTAAATCGTATAGTTGCTTGGCTGCCTTTATGCTAGACATCATGTCAGACAACTGGAATTCAACTATCTACTTAGCTCTTAGACAAGTCACTTAACCTCTTTGCATTTCATCTGTAAAATGGAAATGATAATACATTCCCGTCTCATTCGCTGGACCAATGTAGGTCAAATAACGTAAGTATGGAATTACTCTAAGAGTCTATGGCTCTGTGCAAATGTTAATGATTTTTAACATAAACTACAATGATGGTCAAAATGGCCAATATTGGCCAAAGTCACGCAGGATTCTTCCCAATCCCTTGAAATCACCTTCTGATCACATTCTGTATTATTATATTTTATATATTTCTAGTAGATGGACAGTAAGACTAATGTCTTTCAACTCTATTTATGACCCTTCAAAGAAAACAATGTGGTAGTCTTATGTTTTCATTGGAGGTATAAGTGACAGTAAAAGCTTGGAACCAACCTAATTGTCCATCAGCAGGGGCTGGTAAAAGAAAGTATGACTATTTCATCCTACAGGATGCTATTCAACTTTCTGCCATCCAAGTAATAACCAGGCCCGACCCTGCTTAGCTTCTAAGATCAGGCGCGTTCTATGGCCATTCAGATGAGATTGGGTGCATTCAGGGTGGTATGGCCATAGACTCAACTTTCAAAAAGAAACTAGGGAAGCTCTTTAGGTATAGTTATCAGAAGACCTCAAATGTATATAGTTAAGTGAAAAAAGCAAATGCAGACCTGTGTATGTAGTATGCTACTATTTAGGTTTAAAAAAGGTGAGTAGGCTGGGCACAGTGGCTTATGCCTGTAATCCCAGCACTTCGGGAGGCCGAGGTAGGCAGATCACCTGAGGCTGGAAGTTCGAGACCAGACTGACCAACATGGAGAAACCCTGTCTCCACTAAAAATACAAACTTCGCTGGGTGTGGTGGTGGATGCCTGTAATCCCAGCTACTCAGGAGGCTGAAGCAAGAGAACTGCTTGAAACCTGGAGGTGGAGGTTGCAGTGAGATGAGATCTCGCCATTGCACTCCAGCCTGGGCAACCAGAGCAAAACTCTGTATCAAAAAGAAAAAAAAAAATATGGGAGCATGGTGGCCAGTGTGGTGACTCACGCTTGTAATCCCAGCATTTTGGGAGGCCAAGGCAGGAGGATCACCTGAGGTCAGGAGTTCAAGACCAGCCTGGCAAATGTGGTGAAACCACATCTGTACTAAAAATACAAAAATTAGCTGGACATGGTTGTGGGTGCCTGTAATCCCAGCTACTCAGGAGGCTGAGGCACAAGAATCACTTGACCCCAGGAGGCCAAGAGTGAGCCAACATCATGCCACTATACTCCTGCCTGGGCCACAGAGTGGAACTCTGTCTCAGAAAAAAAAAAAAAAAAAAAAAAAAGACAAAGAATAACAGATGCTGGTGAGGTTGTGAAGAAAAGGGAGCATTTACATACTGCTGGTGGAAGTGTAAATTAGTTCAGCCGTTGTAGAAAGCTGTGTGGCAACTCCGCAAAGAACTTAAAATAGAGCTACCATTCAACCCAGCAATCCCATTACTGGGTGTATACCTGAAGGAATAGAAGTAATTATTAAAAATATCCATGCACTCATATGTTCATTGCAGTGCTATTCACAATAGCAAAGACATGGAATCAACCTAAATCAACTGGAAAAAGAAAATGTGGGTTGGGTGCCGTGGCTCACTCCTATAATCCCAGCGCTTTGGGAGGCCGAGGTAGGCGGATCACTTGAGGCCAGGAGTTCAACACCAACCTGGCCAACATGGCAAAGCCCTGTCTCTAATAAAATTTTTTTAAAAGGCTGGACATGGTGGCTCATGCCTGTAATCCCAGCACTTTGCGAAGCCGAGGCGGGTAGATCACCTGAGGTCAGGAGTTCGAGACGAGCCTGGCCAACGTGGTGAAACCCTGTCTCTACTAAAAATATAAAAGTTAGCTGGGCATGGTGGTACACGCCTGTAATCACAGCTACTCAGGAAGCTGAGGTGGGAGAATTGCCTGAACCTGGGAGACGGAGGTTGTAGTGAGCCAAGATTGCACCATTGCACTCCAGCCTGGGTGACAAGAGCAAAACCTTGTCTCAAAAAAAAAAATTTACCCAGGTATGGTGGAACATACCTGTAGTCGTAGCTACTAGGGAGGCTGAGGCACAAGAATCATCTGAACCCAGGAGGCAGAGGTCTCAGTGAGCCAAGATGGTGCCATTTATATTCCAGCCTGGGCAACAGAGTGAGATTCTGCCTCAAAAAAAAAAAAAAAAAAAAAGAAAAGAAAAGAAAAAGAAAGGAAAAGAAAAGAAAAAAGCTGGGTGTGAGGTGGCTCACACCTGCAATCCCAACACTTTGGGAGGCTGAGGCGGGCAGATCACCTGAGGTCGAGAGTTCGAGACCAGCCTGACAACATAGAGAAACTCCTTCTCTACTAAAAATACAAATTTAGCCAGGCATGGAGGCGCATGCCTGTAATCCCAGCTACTTGGGAGGCTGAGGCAGGAGAATTGCTTGAACCTGGGAGGCAGAGGTTGCCATGAGCTGAGATCGCACATTGCACTCCAGCCTGGGGAACAAGAGAGAAACTCCATCTCAACAACAACAATAATAATAATGATAGAAAACCTGGTTACATATATACCATGGAATACTATGCAGCCATAAAAAATAGATCATGTCTTTTGCAGCAACATAGATGGAGCCAGGGCCATTATTCTAATCAAACTAATGCAAAAACAGAAAATTAAATACTGCATGTTCTCAGTTATAAATGGGAGCTACAGAACAAGAACACCTGGACACTAGGAGGTAAACAGCAGGCACTGGGGTGTACTTGAGGGTGGAACGTCGGAGCAGGGAGAGGATCAAAAAAAATACCTATTGGGTACTATACTCATTACCTGGGGACAAAATTTTCTGTACACCAAACCCCATGACACACGGTTTACCTATATAACAAACCTGCACATGTATCCTGAACCTAAAATAAGGAAGAGTGGGAGGAAGAGAGAAAAGAATCTGGTGGGTCAGGTGAGGTGGCTCACGCCTCTAATCCCAGCACTTTGACAGGTTGAGGTGAGCTGGGCACAGTGGCTGGAGTGCAGTGGTATGATCTTGGCTCACGCCTGAAATCTCAGCACTTTGGGAGGCTGAGGCAGGTGGATCACCTGATGTTAGGAGTTCGAGACAAGCCTGGCTAACATAATGAGACCCTGTCTCTACTAAAAATAGAAAAAAATAGCTGGGCATGGTGGTGCACACCTGTAATTCCAGCTACTCTGGAGGTTGAGGCAGGAGAATCGCTTGAACCCAGGAGGTGGAGGTTGAGATAGGCCAAGATCACACCACTGCACTCCAGCCTGGGCAACAAGAGTGAAACTCCGTCTCAAAAAACAAAACAAAACAAGAAACAATTTAAATATGAAATGAAAGTAACTTTCTTCTAAATTTTTTTTTTTTGAAACAGAGTCTTACTCTAATGCCAGGCTGGAGTGCAGTGGTGCGATCTTAGCTCACTGCAACCTCTGCCGCCCAGGTTCAAGCAGTTCTCCTGCCTCAGCCTCCTGAGTACCAGGGATTATAGGCGCCTGCCACCATTTTTTTAAAGT